AAACTAATCTCACTCTCCCCCTCAATCCCCACAAACTTTAATATCCCCCCAGTCTAATCCCAGTCTCTCCCTCAGTCCTTGCACCCTTTAATATCCCACCCAGTCAAACCCCATTCTCACTCCATGCACCATTTAAAATCCCACTGAGTCTAATATCTCTCCCTCTCTCTCTCTCTTCCCCTCTCTCTCGCTCTCTCTCTCCCTCTCTCTCTCGCCCTCTATCCCCCTCTCCCTATCCCACTGAACTCTGCATCTCTCTGTCTCTGTCTCTCTTTCCAACAAAGCCCTTTGATCTCTTTTCTGTAAATGTACATTTAGACACATACCACGGGCTGAAGACAGGAGGAGGGATAAGAGCACAAACCACATCATTCGCAAAGACCTGAAGAGAAATGGATAAAATTCATGAAAAGATTTACATTGCAATGGCAGAAATTCCAACGCCCTCCCTGTACCAGCCCCACGAAGGAAGACATCCGAGGGGGTCAGTGTTGAGAGAGCGCCGCACTGTTGGAGGGTCAGTGCTGAGGGAGTGCCGCACTGTCGGAGGGTCAGTGTTGAGAGAGCGCCGCACTGTCGGAGGGTCAGTGTTGAGAGAGCGCCGCACTGTCGGAGGGTCAGTGCTGAGGGAGCGCTGCACTGTCGGAGGGTCAGTGTTGAGGGAGCGCCGCACTGTCGGAGGGTCAGTGCTGAGGGAATGCCGCACTGTCGGAGGGTCAGTGCTGAGGGAGCGCCGCACTGTTAGGGGGTCATTACTGAGGGAGTTGAATTGTGCATTGGAAAGGTTGGAGCAAGAGAACCAGACAGAGGGACAGGCAAACCCACGAAGATGGACAGAGACAGAGTTGGAGAGGTACAGACCCCAGTGCTGAAGTGCTGGGAATCTGTGGATGCTCAAGAGGACGGGATTGGAGGGGGTTGCAGAGACAGGGAGGAGTATTGGGATTGGAAGGGGTTACAGAGACAGGGAGCAGTGTAGGAGCTGGAGGACGTTACAGAGACAGGGACGGTTATAGGGACTGGAGGAGGTTACAGACATCAGTGATGGGGATGGATGTAGGTGCTAGAGGAGGTTACAGAGATAGGGAGGGGTGTAGGAGCTGGAGGAGGTTACAGAGATAGGGCGGGGTTAGGGGCTGGAGGAGGTTACAGAGATAGGGAGGGGTGTTGGGGCTGGAGATGATTTCAGAGATATGGAGGCGTATTGGGGTAGAGATGGTTTCAGAGATAGAGAGTGAGTAGGGGCTGGAGGAGTTGACAGAGATACGGAGGGCTGGAGGATGTTACAGCGATAGGGAGGCAGTAGAGGTTGCAGGGTCATAGTGAAATTTATAGTCAGAGTTTTACAGCACAGTGATGGACTGTTCGGCCCATCGTGTCTGTGCTGGTCATCAGTGGGTTGCAGATTGCTACCACTCTCTGCATGAAAAGGTTTTTCCTCAAAATTGTAATTGAACTTCTAGCTTCAGAGTAAACATCATTCCCCAGTTTTTATCGCCGCTCACCACCCCCCATGACTGAATCCTTGTTCACTGACTTCCATTGTTTCAAAAAGCTTCAGCTTTATGACAATCACATTGCTTTCCCCTCCCCCTATCGCCCCTCTCCACTCCCTCCCTCTGTAGCCTCCTCTGGATTTGCAGTGCACACTGTGAGATCACTGTGTTCCCCCACTGCTATTGTCAGACTGCGATCCAGTGTATATCAGTGAGCACAGCGTGATGGGGGACCCAGACATGGTATGAGTTTGTACACTGGCTCAAAGCTGAATTGGTTCCCAATCAGAGCTCAATAAGAACGATCTTTTACAAACACTATTAACCATAAATCTGTCTGTGCTGACAATGACATTACCTTGGAGAAGTGGCTTTCATCAGCTTCTCCCTCTCAAGCTCAGGACAACATTGACCACAGCACCATACAATCCTGTCATTGTAACCTCTGCAAGACATGTCAGATCATCGCCATGGACACTACCATCACACATGGGAACACCACCCACCAGGTACAAGGCAGAGACACATGTGACTGAGCCAACGCTGTCTCTCCCACACGCTGCAGGCAATGATGCCCCGGGGCATGGTATATCAGAGATACCATGCAGTCACCATGACAACGGATGAATGGACACCGTACAACACTCACCAAACAGGGACGTTCCCTCCCAGTGGGGGAACACTTCAGCGGGCAGGGACATTCGGCCTCGGATCTTCGGGAAAACATCCTCCAAGGCGGATTTCAGGATACACAACAACGCAGAGTCACCGAGCAGAGGCTGAGAACCAAGTTCGGTCCCCATGAGGGCGGCCTCAACCGGGATCTTGGGTTCGTGTCACACTATAGGTGACCCACCACATTGTACACCCTCACACACTCACACACACACACACTCACACACACACTCAAACTCTCTCATACACACACAC